CCGACAGATGGCGCGATATATAGCTTCATTGTGTTTCGATAGTGTTTAATCGGCGTATGCCGACGTTAAGTGTACGTAACCTCTTTTGTTGAAAAGAGCGTGGGAGTCAAACGAAAAAAAATAACTTATCAAATTGAAGTTAGTAGTTAGTCTCGCTAAAACTCGAGAACGGCTGAACGCATTTTCTTATGGTAGTCTTGAAATGTTCAAAAATTGGTATCGTATCATTCCTTTAAGACTCCATTTGTCAATTATTGAAAAATTTTAAAATATTTTATTTTTTCAATTGGATTGACATTGTACGAATATTGAAAGTATTTTTTTTGTGGAAATACAAAAAAATAATTCAGAAATATGTCATGGAATTCATACTCGATCATTGTATGTACACGTTTTCCATAGAATGCTATTACCGATATATAAAAAGACATCGTTATGTTCGACTGGGCCAAACTTTTATACCAGTAATCGTTCGGGACTGAGAGTACCACTATGTGGAAGCTATCCAAAAAAGGAGACCGATATCGATAAATTTTGGTAAGGAGATTTGTTGCCCAATGAGAACTCAAATTATATCATTGTTTAACACGTGCCTAAATCACTAAAAACTAATGGTGGTACCGCTATATGGGGAATATCTTAAAAAGTGAACCAATATTCATAATTTTTGGTAGAAAGATTTGCTACCATATGGGAATTCAAAATAATAAACACCCCAAAATAAAGACTAATGGGGAGTACGGTATATGGGCGCTATCATAAAAAGTGGGCCGATGAAAACTCCAAATACCAAATTACAGACACAATATCAAATTTTAGAAAATTCGGTGTCCAACATACACCGATATATACTATTTTTATTAACAAACAACCAATCTAATCTCTATCTTAAATATTTTGATCACTATAGTGATTTCAACCTAGATTTTTATTCTGATTAATATTATATACAGTAAAAACTCGCTAATCCGGATAATTGATTGCAGACCCCAATCCGGATTACCGAGATTTCCGGATTATCGAGTTTTATTAATTGGTTTAAATTAAAATTAATTTGGTGATAATTTAATTATTTTTATGTTTTTATTAAAAATGAAAATTATTCATTTCAAAAATATGAACTTTGAATATAATAGGTACCATTTTCAATTAAATTTGCAACGATTTTTTTATTAAAATAAAAAGTAACGTATCTTTACAATCCGGATTTTTGAGACAAATAGGTCCGATAATCCGGATTATAGGATACGCAATGGGTTGTGAAATGCAGTCCGGATTACCGAATAATCCGGATTGTCGAGGTCCGGATTATCAAGTTTATACTGTACATATAGTTTCGGGGGTCCCCAGTGTTGCAAAGGGAATGACAAATTTAATATACATTTTACCATATGGTGAAAGCTACAAAAAGCTTACATAGCATTGGGCTACCGTTATGTGGAAGTCGTATAAACATATTGGGAAAATAATCTAATTAAATCTGAATACTGAATGACAATTCCGGCTCTTGATATCTAAATTATTACAAAAATTATATCCACGGAAAATTTAGAAGGGAAAACAATGTTTGCCGTTTCGACAATTGCACCGCCTATAAATCAAGAACAAAAATTGTAAAATATCCTCGCACATTTTTCAATTATAGGTTTATTTATTTTCTATAGCAACAACACTCGGTCATAAACATCAAAACTGTAATGTTGCTCTTGTAAAAAACTGTTGTTTAAGCAAGAATTGCTATTTAAAATAGTTAAATAGTTAGCATTTGATTTGAAAGGCCATAGTCGCTGAAATCTGTTCACTCCTTTTTATTACACCCTTGTAATAGTATGAGACAGACAGATTTCAACGGCCTTTTGTTTACATTTTTGAGTTTGCGCCACCTTTAGGCATCTTTGGGTTATTATTCTTATTATTATTACTTGAACTCTCGTTGTTGGAAACACCAAGGCTTTATTGTAAGCCACCGTACATATAGTTGTACATCAAGGTAATATCGTTACCAATAAAAAAATACTCGGCATTGGTCGGAACCCTTTTACTAATAAAACTACTGTGTTATATTTCTCTTTATTTTTGCTCACGAGTACGCATTGGGCGTACGGACTCTATTGGGAGACTTTCGATTGCACTGTACCTGCCAACCACCCAAGTCCCTATAGTGCGGACTTTACATTTGGTCCAATCGAACCGGATATTCCAGCGGACTACATCTGGAATTTTATACAGTCCACCTAAATTAATTAATACTGGTACGTATAGTGCAAGTGAGCAAAAACAATAATGAAGTGTTTCGTTTGTTTGTGTGGCCGTCATTACAACGCGTCACGGATTCCCACCTTTTGTTGACGATCGGTCAAAGTCCATTCGCGGACAACCATACGGGAATATTAGAAACAAAACAAAAATTAATAATTCTTCTTCTTTATATTTGTTTAGTGCGGTATATATTAATAGCTCCCGATTTACAGACATTGAGCGTCTATGTCTGGTGAGTAAAACTAGTGGTGAGGCTCGAGAAATCGTCTCGAAATTTCCTTTGACTCATCGGAGTTTTGAACCTGCGTGGAATGCCTTGAATTCCACTTATGATAATCCACGTCTTATTGTTCATAGACATTTGAAAATGTTGTTTGGCCTTCCTGTGCTGGATCAGGAAAGTAGTTCTGGACTAAAGTCGATTCAACGCGGAATTAATAGTTGTCTTTCCGCAATGGCAATCTATGACATACCTACGGATAATTGGGATCCGATCGTGGTATTTATTTGTTTGCAAAAATTACCCAAACTGACACACGCTTTATGGGAGCAAAGTGTTAAATCCAAATCGTCTCTTTCATCTTGGAAAGAGTTAGATGCATTCTTGACAGAGAGAATTCGTACTCTTCTGTGTTTGCATGAAATGAGAAATGTTAACACTGTGTCAAACTCAAATAATAGAAAGAGTTCCGTAACTTGTAAATGTCTAGCTTCTACTCCTCGTTCGTCCTCTGATTCTTGTTTCGTTCTTTGTTCTGAGCAACACCGATTACACCTTTGCCATCGGTTTGTAGATAGTACACCTGCCGATAGATTTAAATTGGTCAAAAACTTCGTTTATGTGTAAATTGTCTTCGTAGGGGACACGAAGTCAAAAATTGTAATAGTCGTTGTTGTCGAAAGTGCAATCAGAGACATCACACTCTATTGCACAGAGATAGCTCTATTGTGAGCTCTCCGAGTCAGATGGTGACTCCCACAAATTCCAATTTGTCATCTTCGGCACCAACTTTTCGTCCACGCAATTTAAATGTTAATAGTCATTTGCCCTCTTCCACTGAATTTGATCCATCCACATCGACAAACATTTCACGCGTCGCAAAACAAAGCAGTTCTATTGGGAACAGCCATGGTCAATATTGTTAACCATGGTGGTTGTTTTCCTGCTCGAGCGCTAATAGATCCGGCTTCTGAGTCGTCTTTCATTTCCGAACGACTTCAGAAGAAATTGAACCTACCGGTAAAACCCACAATTTCGACAATTCGTGGGGTAAATAGTACTGTTGCCACAACTAGTCGAAAAATATGTTCATTTAAACTGGGTAGTTGTAATAGGTCTCACAGTTTGGAAACGTCAGCTTTGGTAGTAGATTCCATATCGGGAAATCTTCCAACCTGTTCGGTTACTTCGGACCTTAAATCGGATTTGTCTAATATAGTTTTGGCGGATCCTCAATTCTTTGAATCTCGTCCAGTAGATATTTTGATAGGAGCAGACTTGTATCCAAAAATTATACAAAATCATAGTTTTCGACTTTCGTCTGGATCGCTGCTCGCTCAAAATACTAAATTTGGCTGGAATATTACTGGTCCTATAACATAAATTGTTTTCGTAAATCGTACGAAATTGTTGTAAGGCGACCCTCAACAAATGTCACACAATTTAGGCCCCTAATGGCCCTTTCGTTCCGCGGGGTCCCTAATGACTCATTCGTTTCGCGGGGTCCTTCATGGCTCTATCGTTTCGCGGGGTCCCTAATGGCCCTTTCGTACCACAGGTCCTTTCTGGCCTCACACAACGGCGGGGTCCCTAATGGCCCATTCGAACAACAGGTCATTGATGATCTATATAATCGCGGGGTCCCTAATGGCCCTATCGTTTGCATGTAAGCTTGTTATTTGAAAAAAAAAAATTATGAAAAAAAATTGGAAAAAATATTTGAAAAATGTAAAAGGTTTTGCTCACCATGCACTATGCCGTTATTTATAATTTATTGTATTTGTTAAAACATATGGATGTTTCAAGGGAGGCGGCAAATGTTTAAGCAAGAATTGCTATTTAAAATAGTTAAATAGTTAGCATTTGATTTGAAAGGCCATAGCCGTTGAAATCTCTTCACTCCTTTTTATTACATCCTTGTAATAGTATGAGACTGACAGATTTCAACGGCCTTTTGTTTACATTTTTGAGTTTGCGCCACCTTTAGGCATCTTTGGGTTATTATTCTTATTATTATTACTTGAACTCTCGTTGTAACATACTGGCCACACATATTGCTGGAAACACCAAGGCTTTATTGTAAGCCACCGTACATATAGTTGTACATCAAGGTAATATCGTTACCAATAAATAAATACTCGGCATTGGTCGAAACCCTTTTACTAATAAAACTACTGTGTTATATTTCTCTTTATTTTTGCTCACGAGTACGCATTGGGCGTACGGACTCTATTGGGAGACTTTCGATTGCACTGTACCTGCCAACCACCCAAGTCCCTATAGTGCGGACTTAACAACTGTAATGAACTCGATATTCTGAAACTCAATATCGGTATATGGGAGACAAATATAAAATGTTTATTTATACCAAAAATATTCATGGATATTTCATACACAAAAAAAATTGTTTATGAAAAACAAATATCGAAAATTATTCCTTAACAATATTGCTAAGGCAAGACAACGTTTGCCGGGCCTGCTAGTATTTTTATATAATTTTCCAAGAGTATTAGGGTTGTACTTACCAGTTTGCAACTCGTTTAATGCTCTATTTATAATATGGGGACTAGCACAACGTTGGTGGCCGCTGGGATCAGGAGAGCCTGGCGAGATGGGCGAACATGGTTCACTCTGTTTAATACTTCCAGATATACTATCCATTCTTTAAAAGAGTACAAATACACACATTAATGATAGTTAAATATTTATAATATTAAAAGTAACTTACTCTACGTGCCTGTGGCTAGCAATTAGAAGTTCAAAGTCTGGTCCAAACGACTGAATTGCATCGACTAATAGAAACCCATGCACCGACATACTAATATTTACTGCATCTGATTTTCTTGTAACTCCAGCTTTAGCACCAATTATTTGTATTTCAGCAATACTTTTCTCTCTTGATTGAATTTCCAATATTATTTGTCCTATGACAAATTTAAATATTGTTGTATTAGCATTGTGTAGCGCATCGGAATCATTATCCATATTAGTTTCGTCTGAACTCGAATATTCCATTGGATTAAATATATCGAATGTAATTGGATTTAAGATTTTTAAGCAATCTGATATTTTTTGTTCGTTAATATGCGCTACGATTCTATTAAGGTTCCCAAATAATGTAAATGATGGGTACTCAGGATCTGATGTGATTATAATTCTCCTCTCTAGATGGAGATTAATATTGAATTTGTCTAATAAATGATAGCTTGAAGAACTTTTAGCACATGCAAACCCACATTCTCTGTTTTTGCATACAAGTATTTGTAAATCAGTTAAATTAACAATATATTTGTCATAAATTTCACTATGTAGTTCGCTTTCCAACCCGGTATCATTATTAATAACAAATCTAGAAAACTGTTCATTTGTAGCTGTTGTATTAAAATTTGGTGTATCTGAAAGGCTCGTTTTAGAACCAGGAGGGGTTGAGCAAGGAGTCATAAAAAGTTCTTCATCACTATCTTTTTCGCTAACATCAACATCTGCGTTTTGAACGTCTGTAGGCGATCGTTCATTTTTAAATAGTTGAAAACGTCCAAAATCTATTAGTACTATAGATGTATTTTTGTCTTGAAAATTTTCTACGCACATAATTCTTGGTGCTGAAATGTCAATCTCAAATGACCATTTCTTTCTGTTATCCTATAAAAGAGATCGTTATCAATTTGATTGCTTTTGATATGTTAAAATTTAAAATACCTTCTGACCAACCAAAACATTTTTCCAATTTTTGAAAAATTTTAAGCGGGATGCTTCTCTGTCTTCTTTTTTCGTCATTATATTTCGTACGTTTCGGAGGTCTGTTATAGGCTGAACAAAAAATGAAACAATCCATTTTAAAGCATTTTCATTATATACAACATCCAAACTCTTAGACTTAATAATGAGACGATAATCAGAACGATGTTCCGGTGGACTTCTTTCATACTGCAATTGAAACCAAGGTTCTTCGCTGGAATGGGAAACTTCGCGTTTGGAAAATAAACTAAGAAATTCATTGTAGAACGACTTTGTATTTGTGGTCTCTTGATGTTGGGGTTTTATTAAAAACGGAAACTCAGTAGATGGTGTATATTTGTCGTTTAAGTGCACCGATCCAAGTGATATTCCCACACGATATGATGTTAATTTCGGTTTAATTTCTATAAAACAAAATAAATTCTTCAACTCCATGTCAAACATTACAGATTCACCTGATGACTTCGCTGCTTTTAATGCAATATTAACATCAGATAATGCAAATGTAAAGTTTCCGAAAATTGCATCTCGTTTTGAAAATGTATCATTCTCAATCGATTCTTTTATGGCACTTAGTATATCATCTTCTATATGCTTATATGCGTCGTTATTAACTATAGGCGCATCTGAAATTGTGTTATCAGAAACTCCGTACCAACCAAGCCAGTTCGGAAACCAGTTATATAATATATTCTTTCCATGTGCAATATTACGATGACGAGTATTCACTCCTCTATCGCATAAATAATTGCAACATACATCTCGAAGAAGTTTTAACGTGTCGAGGCTCCTATTTTTTTCTATATTGATTTTGAGTTGTTTCTCTTCCTTTGTAAGATTTTCCGACGGATTTATGAGCAATCGCTTATAAATGAGCATATATTTTATGTTTTCTCCAGCTATTTTCAATTTCTCTTCCGATGAACATAGTGTGTAACCATAGCACTCAGCTGCATATTTCCACCATCTCTTCGGTTCATTTAAAACTGATATTGAAGGTCGCAAAATCTTATATTCCCTTTTGTGTGATATATTTTGGAGCTCATGAAAGCATCCTACTATTTCTGTATACTGAACCTAAAATATACACATATTTAAAATAAAAACATAATTAATTATAATAATATTGTTACGAATATAACTTTAGATTTAAGTTAATTTAGATTAATTCCGTTAATTTAAGTATTTGAATTGTAACGTAAATTTCTACTACGCAGTTTATTTGAATAACTTCACAACAACAACTACTGTATAGATTTTTCTACATCCTTCCATTTCCTCTTTCATTTTCTATTTTGTTATTGTCGTACAATTCTTGTTAAACGTCATCATTGATGATCGCTTAATTCCCCTTTCTTTGTTACCCCCTCGCCTGTATATGTGTTGTTATTGTTTACTCAATGTAAGTTTGTATGTGTTGTTGTTATTGTTTACTCAATGTAAGTTTGTATGTGTGTTTGTTGCATTGGTAGATTGTTCGTGATCTAGGCGTTACCAGATCGTCTAGAAACTTCTGTAGCGGCAGGCAAGGGGCATATAAATAGAGGAAATGGAAAGGCAGTGAGTCAGTTGTGAATCAGATCGCGAATTGAAACCGTCGAGTAAAGTAAAGTGCAAAGTAAAGTTGTGTGAATAAAATCATTGTAATAATCGTAATCAGAAAGAACCCGCGTTTTATTTGGTACGAATTGTATCGGGAAATAAAACAACGACTACACGGGATTAACTAAAATCCAAGAACGTAACAATTGGTGTCAGAAGTGGGATTACGATAGTACTACGATGAAGTTTAAGGATCTACGAGTGGAAGACTTGAAGAAGGAGCTGAATAAATTGGAATTGTCCTCTACTGGCAACAAGGCTGAATTCCAAAAACGTCTGTTGGATGAGTTCGAGCGCCGTGGTATGAACATCGATACATATGAGTTTGACAGTAAGGATGAAGTGGATTTATCGGAAATGGGCGAGTCCAACGATGGGGAAGTCTCGTCAGTAGCTGCCAGGGGTGACGATTTAAGAGAAATGCTGGCTAAAATGTTTGAGGAAAATTCCAGAAGGAGCGAAGAGAATTCCAGAAAGTTAGAAGAAAACACGAGACGAATGTTCGAAGAGAATTCCAGAAAGTTAGATGAACTCAAGGCAGAAAATTGTAGAATGTTTGACGAAAATTCGAGAATAATGAACGAGAAACTCGAGAACATTACAGAAGTTATTGGAAGGAGAGTGGAAACCGTGGAGGTCCAAATTAAAGAGTTGGATAAGAAAGTGCAGTCGGTTGACGAGAAGATTCTATCTGTGGATGAGAAATTTTTGGCCCACGACCACAGGTTTACGAATCTGGAGAAGAAAATGTCGGAGCTGGAAATCAAAGGTGGTCCGGTGCGAGTTCCTGATAACACACTAAAAATCAAACCTCCTGTATTCGACGGCTCTACGTCATTCAGTGTTTTCAAGTTACAGTTCGAGACAGTGGCTTCTAGAAATTCGTGGAACGACAGCGACAAAGCGGTTGCACTACTTCTAGCATTGAAGGGCAGTGCTGCTGATGTTATACAGAGTATTCCTGTCGCTTCTAGAAACAACTATGAAGATGTTATTGTTGCACTGGAACGTAAGTACGGTGGCGAACATAAACAAAACATCTACCTTATGGAATTAAGGGGAAGAGTACAGAGGGCAAACGAGACGTTACAAGACTTTGCAGCTGAGGTGGAACGTTTGGTGCTAATGGCGTATCCAGGAGAGAATCACCCATTGCTGGACCGTATGAAAATCGAAACCTTTGTGAATGGCATACGTGACCCTGAGATTAAATGTGCAACATATGCGTCACCAAAAGCGTCGTTTGCCGAAACTGTGTCGTTTGCCCTTGCCCAAGAGACGGCAAGAATAATTGTTAAGCCCCAGACCCACAAGATTCGCCAACTGGAGACCGAATGTTGCGAACCCAAATCTCTCGTTAACTCGATCGAGGACGCCATGAGGCGGGTAATAGAAGAAACAAAGTTCGTAGGGATGACTAAGCCCAGGGTTAGATGCTACAACTGCGATAAAGCAGGTCATATTGCGCGCGAATGCAGAGCTAAGCGCAAGCGATCCAGGTCATCGTCACCACCCCCAACGAAAGATGGTAGAAGAATGGCTCAACAGTCCACCAATGAGTCACCGTTAAACAGAATCGAGCACAGAGAAGGCGGAAAACACGGTAATGCTGATGCCCTGTCTCGTCGGCCATGCAAAGTAGAATGCAAGCACTGCTCAAAGGCTGAGAATAAAGAGAATATCGTTGATGTCCGACTATTGCAGTTTGAGTCGGGTGAAGATTGGTCGACGGAACAACGAAGAGATCCCATTCTGGGCAAAGTAATTTCGGCCATGGAAACGGGCAAGCGACCTAGTCGCAAAGAAATTACCTCCGAAAGCCCTCTTTTAAAATCCTATTGGGCCCAGTGGGACAGTCTACTTATAAAAGATGGTTGCCTATATCGCAAATGGGAAAGTGAGGACGGTAAATCTCACCGGAACTTGATCGTCGTCCCAGACTCCAAAATAAGAGATGTCCTGTCGGAGTTTCACGATGGGCCAAGTGGAGGACATCTTGGCATAGCAAAAACCGCTGAAAAGGTAAAGCAGAGATTCTACTGGGTCGGCTGTCAAAAATCCATTGCCGACTGGATCGCCAATTGTGAAAGGTGCATAAGAGCTAAAGGTCCAACACGGAAGAGTCGAGGCTACATGCAGCAGTATAATTCAGGAGCCCCTTTTGAGAGAATCGCAATGGATGTGGCTGGACCGTTCCCAACAAGCGACTCTGGGAACCGGTATGTCTTAGTGGTCATGGATTACTTCAGTAAATGGCCAGAGGTTTATGCTATCCCAAATCAAGAAGCCAGGACAATTGTGGATGTGTTCAGCAAAAATTGGATTTGTCGCTATGGTGTTCCATCTGAGGTTCATTCCGATCAAGGTAGGAATTTTGAATCAGCGATCTTCAAGGAAATGTGTGACTCCTACGGAATCAAGAAAACCAGAACGACGCCCCTACATCCACAATCAGATGGCATGGTGGAGAGATTCAATCGCACCCTGGAAGAACATCTACGGAAAGTGGTGGGCAGTGGCCAACGAGACTGGGATGAGCATATTCCAAAGTTTTTACTGGCTTATAGATCGGCCATTCATGATTCCACATCCCGGACCCCAGCCAAAGTTCTGTTCGGAAATGAATTAAAGCTACCTGGCGATTTGATATTCGGTGCTACCCCAAACGACAATGTGAACCAAGATGAAGACAGTCAAAACTCTTTTAGTAAAGTCCACGATGCAGTTCGCCATCGAATAAAAATGGTTAGCAACCGCATGAAGGCAAGGTACGATCGAGCGGCAAATACCGATGGGTTCCAAGAAGGGCAACTGGTACTATTGTTCAACCCACAACGAAAGAAAGGACTATGCCCCAAATTGCAAACGCACTGGGAAGGACCCTACAAGATTGTCACGAAAATCGCATCCAGTGGAGCGAAAGTCCCAGGTCGAAGATGAAAGTTGTACATTTGGAACGGCTGGCCCCCTACGGAACGGGAACTGTGCCTATTCGGGACGAACAGGCTTAAGCGGGGGGCAATGTTACGAATATAACTTTAGATTTAAGTTAATTTAGATTAATTCCGTTAATTTAAGTATTTGAATTGTAACGTAAATTTCTACTACGCAGTTTATTTGAATAACTTCACAACAACAACTACTGTATAGATTTTTCTACATCCTTCCATTTCCTCTTTCATTTTCTATTTTGTTATTGTCGTACAATTCTTGTTAAACGTCATCATTGATGATCGCTTAATTCCCCTTTCTTTGTTACCCCCTCGCCTGTATATGTGTTGTTATTGTTTACTCAATGTAAGTTTGTATGTGTTGTTGTTATTGTTTACTCAATGTAAGTTTGTATGTGTGTTTGTTGCATTGGTAGATTGTTCGTGATCTAGGCGTTACCAGATCGTCTAGAAACTTCTGTAGCGGCAGGCAAGGGGCATATAAATAGAGGAAATGGAAAGGCAGTGAGTCAGTTGTGAATCAGATCGCGAATTGAAACCGTCGAGTAAAGTAAAGTGCAAAGTAAAGTTGTGTGAATAAAATCATTGTAATAATCGTAATCAGAAAGAACCCGCGTTTTATTTGGTACGAATTGTATCGGGAAATAAAACAACGACTACACGGGATTAACTAAAATCCAAGAACGTAACAATATGATGGATATAGTAAATAACTATTTAAGTACCCATGAATATGTATATATGCACTTCCAGAATAAAAAAATATTTTCCAAATTAAATACCGTATTTTCCAAATAAAATGGATCCATGTCCTAATTCATGAAACTATTTAGAATTGATATGTAACCTGATGGAATCGTAGTGAAATCGTTTAATATTTAAATGACATTATTTCCATTATTTGTGAAGCCTATACTTGTGTCGCCATATTAGTGTTGCACCATTGTAATTTAATTTTGTAATATTTCTCAATATTTTATTTATTAATTTTTTTTTTTAAAAACAAACAAAGGACAAACACAATTATTTGTATTGCATTTAATATTAAAAAAATTATTTGGTTGTTCCCCGGGAATATTTAAGCTTCCTGCATCAATACATTGCCCTCTATCTGGAACTTGCCTAAAAGTGTATAAGGAATTAGTTACTAATTTAATGAAACTTTGCATTACTTACGAATTTTCTTCCATTTTCTGTATTTTTTTTACAACTTAACTTCAATATGAACTTTGCAAATTAAAAAAATGTTTTGAATATTTTTTGTGTTTGATCATAAAACAGCTGATCTCAAAATGGCTGAGTTTGCAAAATCTTACTGAATAAAATTCTTTTAGTAAACTCCAGTAAGTTTGTTGTTGTTGAACTGTCAAAACCCATATTGAACGATGTTAGGGTGAAATTTGCGATTAAATTAATTAATTCGCAGTTTATTATTTCACTACATAATTGTTTTATTTTTTTCTTTAAATCATATTCAGCGGCTCATCCGGCAAATTTAACTATGTGCTTATTCGGGTTAAATAT